ATAGAATATTTCTCATTAAATGCTACCGTGTGGCAGGCATTTATTTCGTCTTTATGAGTATCGTTCTTTCTGGTAATAGATAGAATTGTTGCCTTCGGTTTCAACTATCTTCCGTCTTCGGCTCCACGTGTCACTTCTTCGTGCGATCATTTGATGAACATATTTTACTCTATACAATAACATATAAGAATGTGTGTGTGTGTGTGTGTGTGTATATATATATATATTATTTTCCCTTAGAAATTAGAGTATACACACAAATACGGACTAGAAGACAATCCATCATTCAAAGAGAAAATGGATACAAGAGATCTTTTGTAAAGTAGTGTAGAAATGGCGTGGGGTAGCCACTGTTTAAGCTGGTATTTACTTTTTATCCAACATTTTTAATGCTTAGCAATAGTAGCCACTAGTCTATTAAAATTAATATGAAAAAACTGTGTTACCCTTTCCTCTCCAAACGGAAATACACTGATGCATTCAAAACATAAAGACTTCGTATTCTCTGGTGTTCTCTTGGTACAAATCGCTGCTATGTCGAAGCATGTTAGAAATGGACCTCAGTGGACTTTTTTCGGATATGACGTTTTATGGGAGCTTTCGTGAAGATTTTAGATTGGTCTCTACTTTTTTGTTTTTAAAATTTGGTTGACGTTGAAGCTATTATGCTTCTGCCATTTCTCTTGTGGCAGAATCGGTGTGCTGATTATATTTCTTTCTAGTGAGTCTAATGTAATAGGGTTTATTTGCTCTTAGCTCCTTGAATTTATTTTTAGATCTAAAAGTTGTGAAAATAAGAAAAAGAGTGATGAGTAAACACGAAATGCAATTCCTTCCCAGAAGTTAAGGACATGTAGTCCTGAAGTCCTAAAGTTAAATTCAAAAGTTAAGGACATGGTCCTGAACTTAGAGTTTCAAGTTCAAAAGTTAAGGAAATGTAGTCTTGAAGTCCTAAAGTTAAGTTCAATAGTTAAGGACACAAGTTCAAAAGTTAAGGGCATGCAGTCCTTAACTTACAATTACAAGTTCTAAAGTTAAGGACAGGCAGTTCTTAACTTATAGTTACAAGTTCAAAAGTTAAGGACAGGTAGTACTTAACTTATAGTTACAAGTTCAACAGTTAAGGACAATAGGTCCTTAACTTTGATTTTCAAGTTCAAAAGTTAAGGACAGAGAGTCCTTAACTTACAGTTGCACGTTCAAAAGTTAAGGACAAACAGTCCTTAACTTCAGTTACAAGTTCAAAAGTTAAGGACAATAGGTCCTTAATTTTGACTTACAAGTTTAAAAGTTAAGGACGCTTGGTCTTGAAGTTTGAGTTCCAAGTTCAAAAGTTAAGGACATGTAGCCCTGAAGTCCTGAACTTAGAGTTCCAAGTTCAAAAGTTAAGGACATATAGTCCTGAAGTCCTGAACTTAGAGTTACAAGTTCAAAAGTTAAGGACATGTAGTCCTGAAGTTAAGGACATGAGCAGAAGGGTATTTTTGTCCGGGCAGTTAAAGTTTATTAAAGCAGTGGCTAAAGACTAAAGACATTTTAAATGGTGGCTTAAAAGTAAATACATGTGTTATTAGTGGCCAACTGTGCACTTCTCCCTAAAGTAGTAGAACCCTTTTAAGCTGGATTGGATGGTGAAGAAAACTCGAGCCCAATTATGATAAGGTGGACTTTTGTGAAAATCAGCAACGAACCTTTGGGTGGAGATGATACCATGTAGCCACTTTTAAGTATGTTGTTTAAAATATATCCACAGTTTACAACATATTTAAAGATTAGTCAATTTGCTTAAACTTTCGGATACGGCGTCCTGAAGCTTAAACCTCAAAGTTCAAACTTCAGGACATCGTGTCTTAAAGTTTGAAAATTATGTCCAGAAGTTTGAATCTTATGCCCTGAATTTGATATTAGCGGCTCAGAAATTCAGGACACTTAGTCATGAATTTTAAATTTGCACCTCAAAAATTCAGGACACTAAGTCCTAAAGTCCAAATTCAAGACTTAGTCCTAAAGTTTGAATAAATTGACTAATCTTTAAATACATTATAAATTGTGAACATATTTTAAACAATGGGCTTAAAAATGGCTATTGGTGCACTTCGCCCAACCTTTGGTAGCTGAAGAAAGATAAGAACTGTTTGATAAAGCTATCGATTTATTTTCAGTTTAACTTTAAAACCTATTATTTTTTGGAAAACTCATTTTTCTCAAGTTAAAAAAAAATTTTAATACAAAAGAAAAGTTGTGCATAGTGTAAATAAAAGAAAACTTTGACTCGATAAAATAATTTACTCACCAAATACACAATTATTGCTAGTCAGTTTCTACTTAAAGGAGTTGATCTTCATCTCTTATTTTGGTATATATGAATGCTAAATAGGTAATGTAACAACCTTATAAAAGAAGCACCCTAATTAAATTCCCTAACAAACGAAATTTTCCATAATAATCGATAGAAACAGATTCTTCCGAAGATTTAATAGTAGAGTATTTATTTTTGGAGGTCTTCATATAGTAAATTAGTTACAGCTGCCAACCATGCATGGTCCTGTACCTGTACTATTTTATGAATAAAACAAATAAGCGTCCATTACACAATATTATATATATATATATATATATATATATATATATATATATATATATATATATATATATATATATATATATCTAGTTTAATATATATCTATTTGTTTAATACTGTGGCAGACCAACTTGCCTGCCCAAAATTATGATATTTTGTATTTGAGTGTTTTGCCCGTTGCCCTTATTCCTAAGCATGTATCATAGAATACTCTATATAAGGCAAATAAAACCCTAGTGAAAAACCTCATTGAGTTCGCCTCCTTTTGTTCTTGATTTTTTTCTGAATTTTTTCCCATTTATAGCAGTTTTTGTGTTTCACTTGAGGATTTTCATTAGAAGTTCATCTCTTTTGCAACCTAAGTGTAAGTCAATTCATAGCTTTGTGTTTTACACTTTAAAATCAACTGTTTTAAAATCTTGACTTTTACGTCTTCCTTCAAACTGTATCAATTTTTTCGTGTATCAATTGATTTACTCATTGAAAAGCTTGAAAAAATATTGTATGTGCAAAATCTTCCATCCGCTTGCTAAACAATAATGAGCAAAGTGGCCATCTTTTGCGCAAAGGGAAATTATGCTTTAACTAATTAAGCACCCTATATGGTGTGTTTTTGCTGGATCTAAAAGGTTTAACATTATCTTTAAGTTTGACCTTCTTAGATTCAAAGAGCAGACATTGTTTTTTTATTCAAAGAACAGAAATTGTTTTGTTTTACTTTCTTTGGATATAATTAGCAGCATAGAGTAAATCAAATCTAAATCAATTACTCTGTATGAATTAGACAAAGAAAAGGGCCAAAATCTAGGCTACCCAATGGCTAGCCTAGTGTACAAATGTTTCGAGTCTACATATTGGTAAGATTCGAGGCGACGGTCACGGTTACAATAACAATAATATATTTTGTGTATTTTGAGAAGGGTAATGTATATTCAAATATTACTTCTATTTCGTGAATGTAGGGAAGCCGTTTTCCATCGACCCTCAAGTTCAAATCGTTGTGCAAGTATAAACACTTTAAATCAATTATAGGAAAACACCTCGCATCATCGCATAATTTGGACGAATGGATGATAGCAAGTTGTTTTACAATAATTTTGTGTGTGTGACAATACATATATGGACACAAACAGTCAAATGATTTGTCAATGCTTTACTAAGTAGTTAATTAGGTAGGGCGTTATTATGATAAAAGCTTCAATACCTTAAACATAATTATTTGTATATGTATTCAAAAACCTTTTTACAACTTAAATTCAAATATTATCTTTTTGAGATATTATCAAATTTATGTCAAAAACGCCCAACATAACACGGGTATGTACATTCAATCGTAGCCGCTAAGATGCTGTTTGGCCATGAAATTTTTTTTGCTTTTTTTCGAAAAGCTTTCACTTTTTTCTCAAAATCAGTACGGCCATAAAATTTTCAATTTTCATGAAGATGAATTTTGGAATTTTTTAAAAATTTAAAAAATTTCAAAAAATTGTTTTCCAAAATTCACTTAGATCACTCACAAAAATTCAAAAATAACCAAAAATTATATATATGTCCAAACACAACTCTAATTTTCAAATACTATTTTCACTTGAAAAAAAAATTCACTTTTTTTCAAGATTTTTACAGTTCTTATATCCAAACGCCCACTAAAAGAAGGGTCATAGGGGAGTTTTTATCCGGTCTTTCTCGCACCTGGTACGCCTCCAAATATAACAAGTTCTTGTGGTTTTCACTAATCACAGCCCTATTACCCTTAAAAAAAAAATTATATCATGGTTTATTCAGTAAACGTTGGATTTTATTAATTTTGTAACATTTGAATAGGGGACTTTAGAAATAAAAATTAATCCGGTTGTTTTCCTGTACATAATTTTATCATGCTAAACACAGATAAAGTTTAAACTGTCCCACTAATCCCTAATTACAATCCACTTCGATGGTTACTAATCACTTCACCTAATACTTAGTTGTAACTCACACCGAGTGTTTACACAAAATTACTTGTAAGAGGTTTCATTACTTTTCTTGTCCTCGGTAAAATAATTAGAAACATCAGATTCCATTTTGATCATAACTTTAAGGGCCAGTTTCGCCATAAAAAAAATATTCAATTTTTTAGAAAATGTTTTCACATTTTTGGAAAGTAGCGCTAGAATTTCAAATTTCACTTGAAGTTGAATTTCAGAATTTGAAAAATTTTAAAAAGTTATTTTTCAAAATTTTCACTTTAAAGCACTTATTAAAATTCAAAAACAGCTCCGAATTGTGTTCATGTCCAAACACAACTCTAATTTTCAACTTGAAATTCTAATCACTTTTTTTTTCTTCGAAATTCTTATGCTCAAACGCCCACTAATTCTTTTGAGGTCCTGAACACTAACATTTAATTTTAAAATAGTACAGAATTAGCCACACAAGAGAGCATGCTCCAACCACATACATATTTGAATCACTGAGGTAGCCACAGAACCACTGTCTCAACGAGACGTTGCTAAGAATTAAGAGAAAGTTTACCCATAGTCAAGTTCATATATATATATATATATATATATATATACTTTAAAAGCAGAGCTAATATTAGAGTGGAGCTGGATATTTCTTGGCCTGTTCCTTCACTCGTCTCTTGTACTCAGCTTTATCCTGCAAAAATGATAGCCACATTATTTTTAATGACAATCACATCTATTCGGTCAATTCAGATAAATCTAGGAACACTCTATGAGGTTATTTCCATAATACAAAATTATATCACCAAATGCATACTTTTTTATCATAACTGCAAGAGGGAAATTAAGAATTATTTTGACTAGAAATTAAAATATGAATCCATTTAATCATCACTTCTCTTCTACAACCAAGTAGTGGCTAGAATTACAAGTATCATGGATTTCAAGTACCCTGCAAATTGGTTGTTACTAGGCAATATGCATAGATGATTCAAATGCCGCAATTGACAACATTGTAAGGATTAGATATAAGAAAATAATCCGCGAAAGTGTTGAATGTCAAAAATTTAAATGCCAATTTGTGGGAAATTGACCAAATACACGTCAATCTCAAGTACAATACCTGCATAAAGAGCTTATTACAGTCGCATTGAGCTGCAGAACTGGGATTTGGCTCGTCGAGTAATTCTTGGATACCCACCAAAATTTGTTTAACTGTAATCGCTGGACTCCACCCCTAAAGAAAGGTAAATGCGACTTTAAGAATCCATAGATTCAATTGAAAGCTGTAAATACCAATCAGCAACACACAAAATAACACAATGGCAGCAACAAGTACTTACATTGTTTGGATTGAGGATAGACAAACATACATCTCCTGAACCATAGACATTAATATGAAAGAAACCTTGAGGAAACTTGCACCTCGGGGGTCGGCTAGGATAGTCTTCACTGAAGTGCATCGTCAGTGGATAGTGACCTCCCTCCCAGTCAGTCTGTGCCAGTCGTAAAATTTGAACATTATTCTTGACAATCAATTGAATGAATAGGGTGAAGAGAGGGGAGAGAAAGGGATTTAAATTACAGTAAACACAATCAAAATGTCATACCAAGAAAAACCAACAGTATCTAGTTTTAACCCAATCCCTAAATTTCCAAAAAAGAAACTAAAAGACTTGAAAGGAAAAGCAAATGATTCAGTAACTCAAGAGTCAAAGAAAGAGAAAGCGCATTTTCACAAGCAATGTGGGATAGATTGTGAGGCCTGTTGCTCAGTCCTCCTACTTTTTGGGGCAAACAACATGAACTCTTATTCGAATCCAAACATTATTGCCATGGGATTCTCCGTATTCCCAAAATTTTAAGTCTATTCAAAGGACTTGAGTGTCGATCACACAACAATAGCAAATTGATTCAGGTCTACAGCTAACAAAGTCATTCATATCATCACTATTTACACCTCTAAGATTGATCAACAGATGAATAATTAGCAGACTTCGTGCTCTTTCTCATATATTTCAGTCATTCAGGTGTTTCGCCTGGAACTAACGAGAAAAAAGGACATAATTCAAACAATGAAGCCAAACTTTCTCTTTCGTCCAAATGTCCTAAAAGTTCTCCAGGTTCAAAATTGTTACTCTTGACACAAAATAACGACCCCACTTTCAGTTTCCAGTTGGCATGTTCATCCCTTAAGCAAATGGTCACTTATAAAGGGCTAGCAAACGTGGTATCGGTGGTTGTAATGCCCTAGCTGAAACTGTTTGTAGACCCAAGCCTCAAGGTGAAAGCTTTAAGCCCAAGCCTAGTTGAAACTGTTAGTAGACTCAACCCCATGAGTTCTATCGGAATTTGCATTTATTACAAAAGGACAAGGGCAACTCAATAAAATTAGTGGTCTAAAACTAAAATTTAACAAGAACTTTATGCCTTTTTAATAGAATATATATATATATATATATGTGTACCACACATATACAAAAGTTAGTTTTGCCTTTTCTCTTATTTGTTGTTTATAGTGTAGTATTCATAAAGCCTTTTAACTCCACATAGTACACTACCCTCCCAGACCCCACTATGTGGGATTATAGTGGGTATGTTGCATAGTAATATTATTATTTGTATTAGTACAGATTAATTTAAGTTATACAAAAGATTTGAGTCATGTTCTCGCAATATATTACTTTGGATGTTACACAAAAAGATTATTTACTAATATGAAAATTTAACTATAAATTTATAAAATATTTCTACTGCTAAAAGTAGGTAGTCTTTCTTTTTCTTTGTATAAAGATTTTGTACTTTTTTATACAAACTTCGATATTGTCTAAGAGAAAACAACAACTACTAGGGCAAGATGTACGCAGCCTTACTCCTACCCTGGAAGGGCAGAGAAGTTGTTTCCGACATTGTCTAAGAGAAAACAAATTAGAAAATTAACTGTTAAAATTTTTTGGGCCACAAAATTTGGGGGCCTAAAGCAAATGCTTTCCCGACCCGCTCCAGCCAAGGGTTCTCAGTCTTGAACTTGGGACTGGATCCTAAGCTCGAACTTGAGACCTGGGTACTTACCCCAGCATAACCTTTGATAAATACATTTTGGGTCCACAACAAACATAAGACAAGAAAAGAAATCCCATTAGTATTATATTGGCTTTTGATCTTTACTTAAAATTTGACAACAGGGGCAGTGAAGAAACAATGGAAGAAACTTACCCCACGTTTACCAGGGATAGTACAATGCCAAACCATCAAATTGATAGAGCCATCAGGACCAGTCTCCGGCTTTGCCACAAAACCCTAACAATAAAATTGACATAAGCAACAATTAAACCCCATTAATGTACACTTTTATTTTAGTTTTCCATCAGGTGTTTGATACCCGCCTGAGGCCCGAATAATTTGGATTCGCGCAAAAAAGTCCCACTTTGGGGTAAAACATACCCTACCAAAGGTGGTTCCATTCCAGGCTCGAACCCAAGGCTCTGTACTTTTGGTTAAGTACAGAGCCACAAACCTTTGGTGTTTAAAAAGGAAGAAGTTATATAAGCAGAAGCAAGATGTTAAGAAACGCACATATGGGTGATTCTTACGCCATGCTTTCCTCTCCTCAGCCAGACGACCAAGCGCAACTCCGCCAACCATGTTTCCTTCTGCTAAACATGAGATTGAGCCAAAGGGTATTATTTCTTGGGAAGCCAAAGGGTTTTATGCACTCTTAAAATTGTAAAATCTTATTCCCACTTGTTTACACGAAAAAAAATTAGTAAACCAAAGATACGTGTATTTTATAGCTATAGTCAACTACGAGAACATATATTATAATATATTAAAATCGGCTCCAAAAAAATTTGGTTTTTATAAAAGTACAGTATATTACAATTAAACATCTCTATAACAGTCCCATGTGCCCCACACACACACTCCCCAAAAAAAGATAGTATAATACATTCAAACCTTTCTATAATAGTCTCATTTGTTTCAATATTTTCTGGCTGCTATAGTGATGTGATGTCATAGAGAAAATATATCATAATGTAATGTTAAAATCGGTTCGGGAAAAACTTGACTTTTATAGTAAATGATTGTCATATATGAATGCTGTTATAGAGAAGTTTGAACGTATATTACAAATATGTTGCACAAACTTTATCTCAAACTCAAAGTACTTCTCCAAAGATTATCTGATTGTTCCCTTCACAATCTTTTATTAGTGAATGCACTGTTTTTTTTGAAAATATCCTACACTATTAGAATATTCATATACTTTATAGGTAAGGTTGGTAATAAATTGTAATATAAATTTTGCTCACACACCAACATAATACATGTGATCCAAATCTCATTAGGCCTTCTAAGCTTAAATGCAAAGAAGTTATGGATTAGTTGGGGTGTAGTGAGATGGTTGGAATCCCTCAACTTTTAATTAGATATCTTTAGTTTGAGATTGAATTCGAGTTTTAGATTAGAGAACTTCTTGGTAATGAGCATTTTACTTTTTTAGGGATCATTTGGTATATTGGATAAGAATAATAAAATTTGGGACTAACTTTATTCTATGTTTGGTTTTGGGTATTAGCTAATTCCGGGATAACTTTTCTACTAAAATGGTAGGATTAGTTATCCCATATAAAAGGTGGAATAACTAATCCCATGAAATATCTCACCTCATGAAATATCTTGAGATATCCCACCATTGTACCAAACGATCCCTTAATTGGTCTATTCGATGCAAGTACATATTAATAGGATTGGTAAATTTTGGATACCGAATAATTAAATAATGCTGGAAAGAACAGAAGGTTGCAAGAAAAATTCACATTCATCAATCATGTGGATTGGAATAATTTGAGATAAAATGGCCCAAAAAATATATATGTTGTTCACTATTATATTAAGAAGAGGTACATGATCTTACATTCTAGTACTCTCTACCTGCTTCTATTCCCTCTGCTTCTATTGACATACCATACGTTTGTCAATAGAAATTTTTTAAGAAAAAGAACTCCAAAAATGTGACATTCGGGCAATAATAGTACAAGGAAACTCAAAAACTCTCAAACAAACAAGCACTAAGAATCGCCAAATTTTCACGGTATAGCCAGTTTTCGGACTGGTCAATTAAAAATAGCCAGCGTTTACCAAGTCAATGAAAAATAGCCACCATTTTGCTGCAATAGAGACCGGTCCAGCATAATATACTGGAGTTCGGTGCACTTGTGTATGAACTCCAGCACCGGTATACTTTGCTGGCTCTAGTATAATATACTGGAGACTGGAGCACTGGTGCTCCAAACTCCAGTATATTATACCGGACCATTATACTTGCTGGAACTCCAGTATATTATGCTGGAGTTCTAGTGTATTTATGCTGGAACTCCATCATATTATGCTGGAGTTCCAGCATACTATCCTGGAACTCCAGTATAATATGCTGGAGTTCAAGTATACTTATGCTGGAACTCCAGCATAATATACTGGAGTATTTTCCGGGTTTTGAACGGTGTTTTCGCTCAGATTTATCTTTACATAAAAAGTGGCTAAATTTCGATTACTTTTGAAATCGGGCTATTTTTGAACGACCAGTTGTAAATCTGGCTATTTTTAAAAATCACCCCTAAGAATCTAAAAAGAAACATTGAAATTTTGCCCCAGCCCCCTTCATAAAATTCATAAAAGGGAGAGATTTATTGATATATTTATTGGATATGTCGGGACTGACGAGGCTCAAACCCGCAGTTTCCGCCTTGACAGGGGTGCTTTGACCAATTGGAAAAAATTCATACTCATCAATTACAAATCCAACTAGGAGACTATTTTGTTCACTTCTCCCTACCTTTTACAACACACGAGGGGAAAACAAGGAAGTCTTTCAGAAATTGAGTGACACAGTTGTTGTAATGAATAAAAGCAAGAATGAAAATGAACCACGAAGTCATTTTTGATATTTGCATGTTTATATAAATAAAAGAATCGAATTAACAATAAATTGGAGTGTGGGGTTGAGATCAAAATATCCCCTGGACTCCCACAATTCATCATCAGTTATGAGAAGTAACAATTGTTCTCTGCTTTTTGCTACTCTAATTCATGAATTTCCTACAGTTAGGAGCACCACATAGGCAAGGGACTTTAGGCTCATCACTCTCATCAGCCTCAAACCTGTAATCAAAGGTTAACTCATCCCCTGCTGAAACGTCTGTTTTCGCTATAAGAACAATCCGATCCTCTTCTTCTCCAAGACTCATGATCCTCGCGAAGCAAGTTGGCATACACGAATGGTTGATTAATCTTGCTATGGTTCCTTTCATTGTGGCATCAATCACTACTTCTTCGTTTATCCTGAAGAAGTAACAGTCCTTCCCTTGTGACCTATAGCGTCGCTCTCTAAGGTCAGCAACGCTGCCCCTAATCCTCTCACCAACATACTCAGCTACCATTTCTCCTTCTTGAATCTCTCTTTTTGCAAAGAGACCCCATCCATGTATACCGGATTTTCCAAAACAAATCCGATGGTTTATCGTCCTATTCAGATGATGTAATCTCTCTCTCAATGTTGGAAAATTCCTTTCTTCTTGATATTGTTTTGAGCTTAAACTATGTATCAACTTTAACGAATGATGGTGAGGCCTCGTTAGCCTGTGGACTATTGGCTCCGGTTTAACTTTCTTGTTCGTTGATGGTCTAAAACCACGACATCTAGCTGCAGAAAAAGGATCTGGTTCATTAGTTTCAGCTGATGATGCATCAGAAGGCATGAGCCTTAAACCTTTCAAGACCCGACCTCCATTTATTCCATGAAACGTATTTTGATTCGAGTAAACTCCATTAGGAGTTCGCATGACTAAAATGTTATCCACACTTGGGGCCCTATGAGAAGCACAATAGGATAACCATTTAGTAGTCTGTGTTCCATTCTTCTCTGAGCAATGCAGTTCCATGCAGTATCCAGCGCGAAAAGCACACATTGTATGATAAGATACTGTGCATTTGCAACATTGTATGCAGGAACCATGAGTCTGCTGACATATACTGCATGTTTGATGTAAGGACTTTGGCGGAATCGCAAGAAGGCCTATAGCAGGTTCCATTTTCTCGTCGTTAGCAAAACCGATTTCAGGCCTAAACCAAGCACAAGTGACATGAACCCAAAAAGGATCAACATCAGTAGGTTTCAATGCACCCCCTTTGACAGGACAAAGGCAACATTCCCTGTCAACTTGTGGAGTTTCACAAGCCCGGCAAACCCAAGAAGCAAAATCTCGAACCCCTTTAGCGCCATAACATTCTTGATGAACAGCTATCTGGCATCTATTGCATATAATAATCTTGTTGAAGTCCCAATCTTCAATCCATCTACAAATAGCACAACGCTCCGAAGTCCACTTTGCGTTAACAGGTTTGTACTTTTCTTGCAAGAGTGAAATCAGTTGCTGCTTATCCAATTTCAAAGGATTAAAACCATGAGTATTATGATTGTCAACCCATTCACCAAGTGGTTGCATAGATATTTTTACCTTAATACTGGCCTTCCATTTTTTGGCTCTGGAACCAGCATGTCTTTCCCATTCACCAACTTTCTGCTTCTTAGAACTGCATGAACCACACTTACACTGAACCATATGAAGTCCAGGGAAATAAATCCCTTCCATTCCATTGCAAATTACAGCTATATTCTCTTGCGGCAGAGATAACGAATTACTGATTTGTGGTGTATCATATTTTGTTTTGCAGAGGGGACATAACGAATTTTCGTTAAGATTACTGGAGATTTTCTTGCATGCCGAGCAGCATACATTGATCTTCCTCAATTTAAATGAGTACTCAGTAAAAAGATGGGGTGTTGGACTTGGTATACGGTCTTTACTCTCTGCTGAAAAAGGGTAATCTTGAACTGGGGGCAGGAAATTTGGCAATTTGCTTTCTTTGACATTCAATTGAAAGCTAAAATCTCTGAATCCTCTACCGAAAACATCAAGGGTTTTCTGTTTCTTGGATGTAATAAACCAATTTTCCCTATCAATTTCTTCGTCGATCTCTTTCTTGTTAGTTTTCCGTTTCACAGTCATCTCTTTATGCACATGGATTGCATGTGGCGACTTATTCTCCCTTAACCCTTAATCACAGAAACTCAGATCGCAATTTCACAAGAATTTGTCAAAGTCGAAATTTTTGACATAAACTGAGAGATTGTAAATTAGTCTTCAACTGTTTCTACAATTTGCAGAGAGAATTTTGCCGGAAAAGAGAAGCCCTAGATGGAAAACAAACACCACGGATATAATCATAAAGGAAGAGTTTAAGGAACACCCATGTTCTATTCCCAGTTGTACAAGGATTTTCTCGTATTTATAGGTTTCCCTCCGGACCGACTTCTAATGTCAACGGCCACAGTTTATGGGCTTGTACTGGGCCAAGCACCTTCACACAATATAAGCCCATTGGGCCATCATTGGCCCAAATCTCCATTCCTAATGGCATATTTTGAGATTAGCCCACACTTATTTTGTCCTGAAATTTTAAACTAAAATCTTAACTTCAGGACATTTCTGGACAAAATTTAACTGAAAAATTGTAATTCAGTACGCACAGACTAATTTCTAAATAGCAACCCTTCAGGGTGACTATCTAGTGTCATTTATAGGGAACACAGATGGCCGCTCAGCGATAATAATTACAACCGCTAGTCAAATATAAAATATACACTTATCATGTATAAAATATGTATATTATATATATTAATATTCAAAAAATCTATGTTTTTGGCTATTACATTAAAGGGCGGCTACACAATGTATGTTTCCCAAAAGTATAGCAGAGAATTCTTGCTTTATTTCAATGAAAACTTTGTTTAGAGTGTTAACTCATTTTTCGAATACTTAAATGGAAAATTTTATATATTGATCAACTATTCAAAATAAAAATCAGTTAAATAATGTTGAATCGAACTCGATGAAATAATATCTATTTATTACTTGATCCTTTTGTAATGGAAAAAGCATGCAGAGAGCGAAGCAGTCATTTACTTTGGTATGGCGTCACATGTTTCAAAATTAAAATACTTTCTTGATTAAAAATGATTTTCGATATTTGTTCATGTTAATGTTTGAAAACAATCTTCCTCGAAACAAAATATTGTTAGGTTTTAGTTTTAACGATGAAAAATAATGTAATTGTTTTTGATGTAGGGACTCAAGGAAATCAACCAAGATCGAAGTGCAAAAAGAGAGCATTCAAAAGGATTGATTGAACAAATCAATGGAAAGGAATCAGCGTTAAAAAGGAAAAGAAGCACTAAAGATCCGCCAAGATGATCAATCAGAAGCTATTACTGGAAGGACTCAGATTTAAGGAGCAAATCCGGCAGCTATCAAGACTTAAAGATGGAAAGCTGTCAAAGTCCACACATCAAGGAAGAGTAACGGGAATTAACCTTATTCTTGGAAAGAATCAATTTCTTCCAAGGATCAAATCTCTTGGGTTGGAAAATCTCTTCAGTTTCAACGGTATCGTACAAAGTATTTATACGCAACCTTAGACTTGGAGACATATACTTTGATCGAACCATCCACCCTTTTTTTGTTCTACTCCAAACAAGCATTGTAGTTTCATTAGATCTGTTGTGTAACTAAGTGACATAAGAAAAAGAGATAAACACTGGTGAGGCATTGTATCAAGAAAAGAGAAAAGAGATATAGAGACTAAGTTATTGGTTTAAAGCTACGCCATTCAATCTGTACTCATGAAACAACGATCACTGAAAGAGAACACCCTTGCAACCCAAGGGGACTAGACTAGGATTCACATTGAATCTGAACCAATATAAAAATCTCGGTGTCTTTACGTCCTACATTTAAATTTTGTATTTATTATTATTATCTTATCCTTACCTCAAGTCGACTAATTGTTGATCTAGTCAACTATTGATAAAAATTGTTAAAAATAAGCAATTCACTCCCTCCCCCCTCTTGTACTTTCAATTGGTATCAGAGCTAGGCTCACATTTTTTTTTTGATTAACAGCTTGTGAGAAAAGATCATGGCAAATCAAGTTATTGTCAGAGCACTCTTCCAAGAAGGAACATCGCAAGTGAGGCCATTGTATTTCAATGGACAATATTTTTCTCACTGGAAAGTGCGTATGAAAATATACGCAAAGTCGTATGATGTCAAGGTCAGGCGAGTTATCAAAAAGGGGAACTACCCTCTGCCAGCTGCTGCTCAACCACCTGCTAACCCTGAAGATATAGATGAATACACAGATGACCAAATGTCAGTTGTGCAAGTTAATGCTAAAGCAAGGAATCTGCTTTATAATGCGATAAGTGGAGAAGAATATGAGAAAATCTCCAGTTGTGATACAGCCAAAGAGATGTGGGATAAACTTGAAGTTACTTATGAAGGAACCAGTAAAGTGAAAGAAACCCATATCAACGTGTTAGTTCATGACTACGACTTTTTTAAATGAAAGAAAGAGAATCCATTGAAGAGATGCTTGTCAGATTCAGCAAAATCATTAGCGGTCTAAAAGCTTTTGGCAAACCGTACTCAAATGGTGATCAAGTTAGGAAAATTCTGAGAAGTCTACCCACCACTTGGTAGACAAAAGTGGTTACACTTGAATCACAGGATTTGAACAAATTATCATACGATGAACTTTGAGGGAAACTTATAGCTTTCGAGAAAACTCATCTCAAGAAAACAAGCCAGGAAGAAAAGAAGAAAACAGTTGCTTTCAAGGCTACAACTGAAAGAGCAGACAATGATATTGATGATGACCCTGAAGCTCTTCAAGAAAAAATTCCCATGGTATCAAGGAAAATGGATGGTTTAATAAGGAGATACAGGAATACAAGAAGAGGCAGGATACCATCCAGGCGAACTAGGAAATATAACGAACAAGACAAAAATAATGGTAAATGATATGAGTGTGGAAGATTTGGGCATGTTCAAGCTGAATGTCTTGATCTTAAAAGAAAGGTTTCCAAAGGTTTTAGCAAAAACAAATCAATTGGAAGCTGGAGTGATGAAGACAGTTCAGAACACGAAGAGATAGTAAATCTATGCTTCATGACAATTCTGGAAAACGACATAAACAAACTCTCAGGGTGCTGGACAGATGAGGACACTTCAGATGACGAGTGCAAAGATGACAATGAGAACTGCTTCATGGCACAAGGTGAAAGAAGCGAGGTAAGATCTTATAATTGTGAAAGATGTAATGAATTGTAGGATATTCTTGACCTTACTTTGAAATAGTCTCAAAAAATGATGAATGAACTAAAGAGACTCAACAGAGAAAAGAAAGAGTAAGAACTCAAGCTTGAAGTATGCGAAATTGAAAAAGATCAAGAAGAGTTTCAGGATTTGCAAATGCAACTCAATGGCATGCGCAAATCCACCAGTCATAGTTCTGTCAAGTCGAACCAGGTGACTTACAAGTAATGGAGAAGGACCAGTCAGAACAGAGTCCACTAGTACTAACACAAATGGAAGATCCAAGAATGGATCAGGACCTACGTGTCACTATTGTAACAAAAGTGGACATAAATATTTTTTTTGTCGATTTCATAAATCAAACGTCTCAGGGTGGAATTAGAAATTCAAAAACAATCCGAGTCTAGTAATACTAACCAACAAAGACCTAAGCAAGCTTGGGTACCTAAAAGGAAGTGATAATTACGTTTTGCAGGAACACCACAGAAGGAGTCCCAAAGGAAAATGGTATTTAGATAGTGCGTGTTCTAGTCACATGACAGGTGACAAAAACCTGTTTAAAGAAGTTACAAAAATAGATGGAGGAAGTGTCAAATTTGGTGATGACTCAAAAAGAAAACATAGCCGGTACCGGAACAGTTCCTTTCAATAATAAATGTGATATCACTGAGGTTTATCTTGTTGAAGGACTTAACTACAATCTTCTGAGTATAAGTCAGCTAAGCGACTCAGGGTATGAAGTAAAGTTCAAAAAAACAGGATGTGCTATTGAAGATGAGACAGATGAAGCTTTGAAAAATTGTGAGATCTTCTTTAAAAGAGTCGAAAGAGATAAGGGGTATCTTATTACAAAAATTCAAAGTGATCATGGAGGAGAAATTGAAAGCAGAGCATTTGAAGATTTCTGCAATAATCAAGGATACACCCACAATTTCTCTGCTCCAAGGTCACCCCAACAGAATGGAGTTGTTGAGCGGAAAAATAGGACTCTGCAAGATATGACAAGAACTATGATACTAGAATATTCATTGCCAAATCACTTCTGGGAAGAAGGAGCAAGTACAGCTTGTCACATTCTCAACTGATGCCTCATAAGACCCATTCCGAAGAAGACTCCTTATGAACTGTGGAATGGTAAATGACCGAATATAAGTTACTTTTATCCGTTTGGAAGCAAATATTTCATCCACAATAATGGTAAGGACAATCTTGGAAAATTCGATCCAAGAAGTGACGAAGGTATTTTTCTGGGTTATTCATTAAATAGTAGATCATTTAGAGATTATAATAAACTCACACTATGTGTAGAAGAATCAGTACATGTTATCTTTGATGAAAATAACACTACGGCCGAGAAAGGATTTATTGCAGGTGATGAAGATCAAATTCAAAAAATGAACTGAAGTGCAAATCTCAAGAGTCGACTAATAAACCTGATGGTGTCATGGAGTCAACTAATGAGATTAGCAACAGTCAATCGGAATTTCCAAAGGAGCCAACTACTCATACAAGTACAATTCGTCCAAATGAATGGAGAAGTGAACCAGAATATCCTCAAAAGTTTATTATAGGAGACCCAAGTGAAGGAATGAAAACCAGGGGAGCTCTCAAGAAGAAAGCAAACATGGCACTGATTTCCCAGATTGAACCAAAGAAAATAGAGGAAGCTCTGAAAGACTCAAGCTGGTTACAAGCAATGCAGGAAGAGCTAGATCAATTTGACAAAACTCAAGTGTGAAAACTACTGCCTAAGCCTGAAAACACTACTGTAATTAGAACAAAATGGGTTTTCAGAAATAAGCTAAATGAGGATGGAAAGGTTGTGAGAAACAAAGACAGATTAGTAGCTCAAG